TGTGACACTTGAGGGTACTGTAATAGAGGACTTAGCTATTACTGCAGATAAGATCCTAGAAATAACTAAACGGTCTGTCCCCGAAATATGCTCAATGACTAAGCAGACTTCGAGTGAGGATCCTGCAATGACAGAGTTATGCAACTCCCTTCAGCAGATGTTTAGGTCAAACACGCATTCTAAATCCTCCAACCGTCGTCCTAAATCTCCTCAACGCAGGAACTCGCGTGGTCGATCTAAGTCCAAACCACGTTCACTGAAAAACCCTGACTGGTGCTGGTACCACAACACCTATGGCCAAGAAGCGAAGTGTTGCCGTAAGCCTTGTAACTTCGGAAATGTCTCAAAGTCTGTGGGAAACTATCCCGCCGGCACGCGTTAGCGGCAACCGTCGCCGGTGGCACTAGCCGCCTACTTTACATCCATGATGTGATAAGCCAGACTCGATACTTAGTCGACACAGGCGCCGAAGTCAGCGTCCTTCCTGCTACAGCAGCAGATCGACAGAAGGAACCTACCTTCAACTTACAGGCTGCAAATGGAAAACCAATCGCAACCTTTGGTAGGAAATACGTCTATCTGAACGTAGGTTTACGCAAACCTATTCGGTGGATTTTCCTTCTCGCTGACGTTACAATGCCCATCATTGGCACGGACCTACTTAATCATCATGATTTACTCGTAGACGTCCGCCGAAAACGACTGATTGACAATACTACTAGTCTGTCTATCAAAGGCATTACCTACATAGGCCCTAGTTTGTCACCCGTTAAGATAAAGGCAATTCTTGATCCAACTTTTCAACCTATCGTTGACAAGTATCCGGAACTTAACTGCCCGTCGAACGACCTACCGTGCATAACCAGCAATGTTATGCACCACATCATTACCACAGGACAACCTGTGACATCTAAAGCACGACGATTAGCTCCTGACAAACTGAGAATCGCCAGGAATGAATTTGACCATATGCTTAGCCTTGGCATCATTCGACCTTCGAATAGCCCATGGGCATCCCCACTTCATATGGTTCCGAAAAAGGATAGCAACGATTGGCGACCCACCGGTGATTACCGGCGAGTGAATGCCAAAACAACCCCTGATTGCTACCCGTTGCCTCATATACACGACTTGACGGCAACCTTATCCGGCGCGACTATATTCTCCAAAATCGACTTGGTTAAAGCGTATAACCAAATCCCGATGGCAACAGAAGATATCCCGAAAACGGCTATCATTACGCCTTTCGGACTTTTTGAATTTCTACGTATGCCATTCGGTCTCCGGAATGCAGCCCAAACATTCCAACGCTTCATTGACGAAGTATTTCGCGGTCTCGACTTTGTATACGCATACTTAGACGACTGCCTCATTGCCAGTCCAGACAAGGAAACTCACCTTAGGCACTTGGACTTGGCATTTGACAGGTTACGCCAACATGGTGTTACCATTAATTTTCAAAAATGTCAAATCGGTGTTGACTCACTCGACTTCCTGGGTCACACTATTGACTGCAAGGGCATTCGCCCACTGGCTACTAAGGTTGAGCCTCCTAAGAAAAACCGTTCTGGACGCACCGTAAGGTTCCCAGAACACTTGCACACTTATTTGAATTAACGAAGTCGTGTGATTCACGCAACTCACTCGTTCGTGGTACTAACTATTTTTTTTTGACGTATAAATTTTTTTTATATACAGTACCACCGAACACAAAAAATTTTTTTCAACAGTTCATGTAACATACACAAAAAAATTAATTAGATGTATTTTTTTTCGATGTTCTGAACTTAGCATTATTTTACTGTATAGTAAATGCACATAATTTTTTTTAACCAAAAAGGTCATTTCGTACATTTTCCTCGACATGGTTCTTAGCGTTCTTGTTTTCTTTTCCAGGTGCGACGGGCACTGGACGGGAAACAAACGAAGCACGGAATCCAACGAACAACACCAGGAAGCTATGTACAAACACCCCATTAGCATAGGCAGACAAACCAGTAGGCATAAGACCAAGCCGCTCGGAAGATTTTTTTCACCCGAAAGGGAACCATCGAGTTTTTTTTACTTCCGGCTGGTTCTGTCTTAGGGTCCTCACGACCCCACTAGGGGGGAGTGAGCTGTAGCGGTAAATAATTCCCCAAAATTATTGACCACAGCAATCACGCATTGGATGCTGACCACCACTGTTTAAGTCGACTTGTTTAGCTGAAGGCTTCCGGTCAAGCATCCACGCCATTTGGTACCCGTCGTGTAACGTGCACGATCACTAGCTAGCTAAGCGTTCGTCTAACGGCTGGTTTTGGTTCGTAAATACATTTCTTCGTTTGGACGATCAATTGTTGGCTTTTACTTTGTCTTTGGTACGCGAGAATAAATTAATTAGAAGTTGTTGAACGAGATATCACGTCAAACCTTTAATATCCCTCAACCTTTAAAGTATGTTTAATTTTTTCGAGTAAGGAACGATCTTTTTATGAAGAAAGTTCTCAGAATTTCCAATTTTACTTCGTTATTCAAAGATGGCGTTAATTTGTCCACTAAGGTAGTAGCCATAGGAGATTACCTTCAGCGGGAATTATATTAAGGTAGCTTTATGTAATGCGTCATAGAAGTAAGCGGCGTATTAAATGTATTAAACGTTGTACAACTGATCAAACCGTAGTTCTTACATACGAGTTAGTTTTATAAATAATGAATTTACCGTGCAAGCGTCTACCTTGAAGGGAGGAGTTCTGTATGAGCAGAGGGTACAGAAATTTTAGGAGTAGTGCTAATACTAGCTGTCAGTACAGTTTTATCCTCAGTTCCATCTCGACGCTTACGGCATACAAGTGAGTTATGTGACTCACTATAGCCGTTTGTAGGGGGGTGTCTCTTGATGTAGCAATCAAGGACGTTAAATTAGATACCGGTTTTACAGGGGATTGGGTTCGTTGCTTTTTACTTTGATTAACCATAACTATTAGAAATGAGAGTTAATGGTTACAAGTATGGAAGTAGTATAGTACTTGTGAAAGTATTACAACAAGATAAATTTTATGTAACAAATCACGTAAAAACGTAGCGCAAACGTTGAACGTACATCATATGTTTTCCAGTGTTTGAGGATTATACGCGAATTTCAAGACAATTTTCGAAACATCCATACTATTGAGGCGTCATTCTCTCATCAAGCTTACTTGCAGATCACACTTCACACAGATCAACACAAACTTTTACATGAAATGAAGTATTACAAGTGTGTAACTTAGAAATTAATCCACAATCTCAGTGATGTCTAGTCCAGAAGGTTTTGTGAATCCTACAGAAATCACATTCTCAAATTTTGGGGACAATAACCATCAAATATAAGCTGAACATGCCTCAACTCTAAACAGCTATGCACAGTGTTAACAACATAGAGAAACACTTAGGCTATTGTAAAATATACAGACCTGTTGTGTTGATGAGGATAATAATGTCATATAATGCAACCTAGAAAATTCAAGCGTGATACCGCATCTGTACTGCTTTGTGTAAATGGAAATCTCAGGAGGAATTCATTTCAACTATTGGTGATCAAAAATATTGCAGCATTAAGTATACAGTCAGTGGAAATTGTAAAGAGAATAAATTCATATTAATGATAATAAAGCTGAATAGATTCAGTTCCCATAATCACCACGACTCATGCGTATAATCATACCGTGTAATGATTTAGTGCATTAATTGGAACGGCAAGGAAATTTAAACGAGTAATTGCCTTCTCCACTGCACTGTACTTGCAATAATCGTGACAACCACCTTCGTTTGTTATCCTATCAGTCAGCTAAGTAGACAATGGCACAATATTAATACAGTTGAGATATTTTTGTACATTGAATTCACATAACCCATAGTACACTGCACCAATCAGTGCCAATATATATGAAATCCATTTAGAGATAACCTTTCGACTTACCATAATTCCTGTCCAACCACAGATAGAGTGAAAAGCACATCTAAATGATGATTTAGGTTCCCACAGACGATTTCGATAGCACTTACAGGTGATTTCCAAGTACTGAGAGAATTATTTTGTCAAAAAGACTGTTCTTCACATGAAAATAGGCTGTATTGATATCTTGAGACGTGAAGTCTTCACTGAATGATACTATGCTGAAAGGTGCAGCTTCTACATGGAGTAAACGATTTGTGTAAATGGCATTACCCTCTAACTATCCTATCTTGCTCATTACACCGATATTTTGATACAGTCCCCCTGAAACACTAATCATCGCGACCAATAAGCTAAAAGTGTGTCGCAGTCAGATCACATGACGCGGACACCAAAATAACTAGCCAAAAATGGGAATTTACATCAATCTAGATAACATATAACACAATTTTATTAAAAACTGTTGGCAAAACAAAATTTCGAAGCGGAATTCAACATTACGTGATAAATAAGTCCAGCTTAATTAATCCCAGCACTATTCCTTTTGGAGTCAACCTAAGCTACGACAGTCGAGTGGCGGGACGAGCTACGCAGAAGTTTACAGAAGATCAGGAACCTACACAATCAAGAGGCGAGAGCAAAGAAATCGAATTGGTTTATACTAGCTCGTAAAAACGATATTGGGGTTCAAGCACTGTGGAGGAACCATATCTCTGTAGTGTACTAGTTCATCCTGTGTGTCATCATTTCTTGTAACCAACTCCAAAAAGAAATGGTGTCTACCCCCAAAGATACTTGTTATGAAGTACTAACATCCTCACTCAAAAGGCTGTGAACTTGAGGGTCATCGTATATCCGCTAGGCGGGCACTTTGAGATGAAGGTCGTTCCGCAGTCTAAAATATTTTTAAAACATGGCAATACATGGCTATTTCGGTGTTTCCCTACTCACTTTTACCTAAGTAAAACTTCTACATACTGCTTACGCACAAAGACTTTCTCAAACTCCTCCAATGAGAATGTAAGACAAAGTTGTTTACAGTACAACACTTCAGGAGCGATTAGGTTTCTTCACTATCCCAAATATGATAACAGTCTCTCGTATGGCACTCACTCCGTTTATTGTCAATTCCATTTTGAATCAAGATCTGAGTATAGCTTTAGGTCTCACTGCAATAGCTGGTGTAACTGATGTGGTGCGTTTACATTTTCAATTGTCATCAGTGCAATTCTCTATAAGCTAGATGGATTTATAGCAAGAAATGTACCACATCAAAAGTCTAACATTGGTAGCTTACTGGATCCTTTAGCTGATAAAGTCCTTGTGACATCTTTGGTTTTATCGTTGACTGTGATGAAGCTGTTTCCAAGTAGTAGTGTTGTTTTGTTAAAATTTCACTAGTTAGTCTGACTTGTCTTTTTATCCTGCGTGACGTTGGACTAATAGCTGTTGTGTTTGCAGCATTTCTCCGGTATTCCCTTTCAGTAAGTACTTTCGATTTATGACTCAATTTTTAAAAGGCTAGTCCTGTGACTTTCACTCGGGAGGTTGAGATAAAAGCATCCAATATCAGCAAGGTATGTGTATTCTTAATTTTTCCCTATTATCATGTTTACGTAACCACTGGCACATTTATATTTATACATATATTTCGAGGAGGAAATGGATGTCTTCCAATGATCCAATCCAACAGCAGTATGATTATTCTTGACTTAACGTTTAGTTTAGTTAGTGCAATAGTATTTAAAATTAACTCTAGGTAAAAATAGGTGGTTACTTAAGCACATTTGTAGCGTGAGAAGCATCCCTTGAGTCAGATTCATAAAGAATTTAATTTAATTTCCTTTTCCGGTTGTTGACGTGACCGATAGCTGCTACCTTGACGTGGTGGTCGGCCTTGCACATCGCAGTGGCCCAACAAGCTACACTAGTTGGAACTATTGTTGGGGGGGGGCGAAGTCGTTCTGCTGGGGAACAGGGATGTAACAGCAGTGAGGTGTTTCCCTCAGATGACCAGCATTCTGTTTCCACTCTGGAGGAAGGGGGCTTGAAAAGATCGACCCAAAGATTGTACATCCGGACTTACCCTACTGTGGTCCGTAACCGGAAAAATCAAACCAAGAAACCAGTTCATACAGGGCATGTGTGACCGGCCTCAAGAAGCTGCCCCCTGGGCTCTGTGGTCACGCAACATTAACCCTCTATCTGTATCGGTTACCCGAAGAATCATTCAACTTCCACGGTGTGGGCAGCCGGGAAGTTACAACCTCCCACACATCTCCAAGAGCACAAGAAGCCTTCCTGAGCATCATTCTTCATCTTCCGGTTGTTGTTGTGTTATATGCCGTCTGCATGTGAATACTAAACACGTATTTTTAATTTTAAATAGGTCTCAGTAGAAAACCGCCCCTCCCCATCCTTTTGAATATTTAATTAATGTGAATACAGAAATTCTGGAAGGGAACCTACATGAATTAGTACTGCTATTCGTTCTGATAGTATAGACTAACGTCTAGGCGTGTGATTTCGTCAAACTAGTGACTGTACTTGGTCTGTGGGTGGTTAACACTTTTCTGCTTTAAAAATCTTAGAAAGTTACTTTTCGATATACTTGGTGACTAAGACTAGTTGTAGTTCCGCTTACTCGGGAGCATAACAGAAGTACTCAAGACGAAATCTGCTTATCATCCATCCAGTGAGACTGTTTGAGTATTTTTAGATTTGGATCCAGTAGTAGTGAATGCATACTGGAAAATTTATCGCTGACTGTAATGGAACTACATGTACAGTATTGAGGACATGCTGTTTTCGACAAATGGGTCAATGTAAGACCTTGCACAGAAGTTTATCAGTTATAGTTACTATACTTTGAAACAGTATAAAAAATATGTTAGCGTTAATTCAGTAGTATAAAAAGTAAAATCTCCAAAATGGTGTAGTAATTACACCTATGCCTTAGTGAGCGATTTCTTCAAGAGTCTTCAACTGTTAATGTTTAGCATTCCATGGTCTTCACCTAGGGAACCCTTAGCTCCCTAAGCAACTTATATTGGTTGTGAGGATCTCAAATTGACTATTTAAAACATTCTAACCGTTTCCCACCGTATAACAACTCAATCCTATTTCAGCTAACGTTTTTCGTCGAGAAAATACGTGTTAGCGAAGTTTTGCAACCCCATCAGTTGGTCTGTCTCATCTATATTGTTTCCTACCTAATATGAACATTACTCAATTTGTTGTTTGTTTCACCACGATTTAGCAATGCTACAAAATACATGTGGCCAAAAACTTGCAACCGTTTTAGTGACGTATCCCGTATCCACAATTTAAAGTGGATTTCTACGCAATGGATGATAATCTTAATTTTACTTGAAAAAACGGTTTTACAAGGTGCAAACTTTTGACAGTTTTGAACACCACTATTTGTACTGTTTTGCAATTGAATCAGTAAATAGTTCCCTGCCTGAGTACTAAGTACAACTTGTAGGCAGAATCATACAGGAACAAGAAGGATTGTATTAGCGATGTTTTATTATCACAACCGAAATTCAGACAAACAGCCAGTCAGACTGACAGTATTAGAAGTAGTATATAAACCCAAAGTGTACTTATACGCGTCAATATCAGGTAGAAGACTATTCTGTGCTATGCTTTGCTATTAATCAACAACCACTTTAAGGTTTGAATCAATAAATCTCAAGTTATAAAGTGAATAATTCACCATGTTGTCCAATTTTTTTCAGTTAGCAGATCTTACCCGATTAGTCATAACTCCTCATCAAAAATTCATCTGTCCCCTGTCCTTGGTTTTCAGTGTAGCTTTTGTTAACTATCACTTTATGCAATTGTAACTTGTTAAATTGTGGTATCTTTGTATTCACTGTTTTTTCTGTTTTGAAATTTTTCCTTTCCAGCTGAATACACTTTGTCAGTTATCAAGCGTTATATTTAGTATGACGTATCCATTGTATGGATTCCCTAGTTATGAATATTTACAGGCTGTTTGGTGAGTTTTAAAGATGTTCACAATATATGTGACTTAGTTTTCTTTCAAAAACGTGTAAATCTCGGTGTATCGAAACTGACTGACTGACTAACTGATTGATTGAGTTTACATCGTAGAACTTTATGGCTGTGAGACCTGGCTACTGAGAACGGAAGACATGAAAAGGCTGGGTAGCTGTCTTTGATCATAGGTGCCTGCGTTCTATCTCCCGTGTGAAGTGAGCAATATTGAGGTTAGGTGTCGAGTGACAGCGTGAGTCCCAGCGTAGCAAGAGCTGGGCATTAACGGTTTACGAGACGTGACTGACAGTTTCTGACGATAGAAACAGATCTGGCGGATTCAAACAGTTGGTGAAAGTTTGGATAGTCACCGTTCATCTTTCCTGGTTCCGGTCAAGTCCTCTTTGAACAAGCAATATCTGGAACGTTTTTGGAATTGGGTCAAGTTCAACAATGCCTGGGTCAAAGAAGGGACAGAGTGTCTTGGATGCAAACAGGAAAGTAAGTCATTGTGACTTGTCTGTTAATTGTAACGATGTGTCTGATGTTAAGCATGACATGGTTGATGTTACTGTTTCGCCGTTCAGGGATAATAGGAACATGAAACTCCCTAAATTTGAACCACGGTGTTTCGATGGAAGCCCGGCTGATTATTTACAATTTGTAAAGGAGTTTGAGATCATGCTGAGTAGTTTTTTATTAAGTGATGAATTGAAATTGATGTATTTGACGAGGTATTGCACTGGAGATGCTTGAAGAGCTATACAGTGCTGTAAGCTCATGCCCCCTAATGAGGGCTACTACGAGGCTATGAGCATATTACCTCAAAGGTTTGGAAGACCTTCAATGATTGTAAGGAACGTATACGAAGCTGTCAAAGGTAACGGCAGTCAGCTTCAAGATGACTCCAAGGCACTTACTGAGTTTTTAGATAATCTTATGACTTATAAGAATACCTTGACTTCTATGAATTTCATGAGTGACCTCAACTCGAGCTCAGTCCTAGAGGTAATTGCGAGACGCCTGCCTACTCGGCTGAAAAGGAAATGGGTAAAAATAAGCTCTCGTATAGAGGAGGAGGGTATCGAGCCAAGGTTTGGTGATATTCTTAGACTGGTGAAGGACAGTGTCAACCAGGCGATGGGCAAATTCGCCAGCATTTTGCATTCTAAGGTAGAACCTAAGGAACCAGTGAATATAAGGAAGGCATTTGTGGTGAAGTCTCAAGACACAACGAGAAAGGATGAGTGTATTGTTTGCCATAACATGCATCAATTGAGTGATTGTAATCGCTTTATCGCTATGTCACCCGTAGAAAGGTTAAAAATGGCAAAGCAGAAGCGGCTGTGTTTCAGTTGTTTAAAGATTGGGCATACAAAGTGGAATTGTAAGGCGACAGACAAAGGAAGTTGTAGTTTAACGGATATGCACCCACTTCTGAGAACAGTGAACGAACCTGGGAATTTGGTTAATTGAAATAGTATCTCTAGACCCCTTGACATCCCACAAGTTTTCTTAGGGGTATTACCAGTTAAGGTGAAAGGACCGAAATCTTCAGTAGAGACTTATGCATTGTTGGATAATGGTTCAGACGTTACATTGATAGATGCTGAACTGGCTGGTTGCTTGGGTATTAAAGGCCCAAAGCAACCCTTGGTTGTAAATACTTTCAATTCTGCGAAAACAGTAGTATGTGAGCGAGTGTCATTTCAGTTAGAATCCTTGGCTACTGGGAAAACCGTGGAAGTGGATACTGCTTACACTACCTCCAGTATGAAACACGGCGAAGCTATAGTACCTAGTCGTGAAACGGTTGTCGGTAAGCCATACCTGTGTGACATACCTCTTCCAACACTGCAAGATGGAAGAGTGAGAGTACTCATTGGATGTAGTGTGCCAGAAGCTCACAAGGTATTAGAAGAGAGATTTGGAGGTAGAGATGATCTGTTTGCGACGAAAACACCACTGGGATGGACAGTGAGAGGACCTATACCCATAGTCCACATATCATCATTAGTTGCAAACGATGGGGACAAACTAGAAACTATGATTAAAAATATGTATGACAAGGAGTTTTGTGACTGGTGTCCCAGGGAAGGGTCGTTCTGTAGAAGACTTAAAGGCAGTTAAAATAGTTGAGGAGTCTTGTAAATACGAAAACGGGCGTTTCAGCGTTGGCCTACCATGGAGATTCAAAGATAGACAGTTGGTTTGTAATAGGAAAGTTGCTCTTAAGAGACTAATGGGTTTACAGAAGAAATTTCTGTCAGATGCAGAACTCTGGTCCAAATATAAGGATGTCGTCGATAAACATGTAATGAAGGGTTACGTTGAAAGACTAGTTGATCAGAGTGAGCCAGGGAAGTGGTATTTGCCCCATCATCCCGTCTTTAACCCGAGGAAGCCAGGTAAACTCCGTGTGGTGTTTGATTGTTCTGCGAAACATGAAGGAGTCTCTTTAAATGATAATCTGTATAGTGGCCCAGATTGCGTGAGCTCATTAGTGGGACTGCTATTAAGATTCAGAAAGTTTACAGTTGCTGTCGCGGCGGATATTGAGGAAATGTTCCTACAGGTGAAGGTGCCAGAGAGTGACAGAGATCACTTGAGGTTTTTGTGGTTTGATGACGGTCCTTGTGGTAAGGTGTCAGAATATAGGATGACAGTGCCACGTCCTCCCCGTTTTGTGCTAATTTTGCTCTACGAAAGGCAGTGTCCACATTTGGTTCTAATGATTTGCTGGACGTCATAGATTGTTGCTTCTACGTGGATGATTGTTTAGCCTCCTTCGATGATGATAAGTCTGCAGTTAGATTTGCAACAAGCATCACTGAAGTGTTAGCTAAGGCCGGCTTTCGTCTAACTAAGTGGGTCTCGAACAGCCTAGACGTTTTGAAGCATATAGATCCAGAAGACAGAGCACCTACCGTACGAGATTTGCCTGTTGATACTCTACCAGTTGAACGCACATTAGGTATGCGATGGGATGTGAACTCTGATACCTTTGGATTTAGTGTTGGTGATATTGATAAGCCAGTTACTCGGAGAGGTGTGCTCTCTGTGTTGTCGTCCGTGTTTGACCCACTTGGATTAGTAGCACCTTATCTACTTCCGGCTAGGAGGTTATTTCAAGAGACATGCAGGAAAGGGTTACAGTGGGATGAACCATTAAGTGAGAGGCAGAGAGAAGAGTGGAAGGGGTGGGTTAACAGTTTAAGAATGCTGAATCTACATTCCGTCTCACGTCCACTTAAGCCGTCGAGAAATCATGATATAATTGACTTCCATGTTTTTTCTGATGCCTCTGAGGTTGGATTTGGTGCAGCCGTATACATCAGAACCACCTTAAGGAATGATATAGATGTTAGCCTGGTGATGGGTAAATCTAGAGTTGCACCTCTAAAGACGGTTTCGATTCCGAGATTAGAACTTAATGCAGCCTTACTAGCTGCGCAGTTATTCACAACGGTGTGTAAAGAGTTGGATTACCCCAAGCATCCCGTAACGTTTTGGACTGATTCGATGTCTGTGATATATTATATACGCAACGAGTCAGCAAGATATGCATGTTTTGTAGCTAACAGAGTATCTCAAATTCGTGAACTAACAACTGTTGAGCAGTGGAGGTACGTACCGTCTGGAAAAAATCCAGCTGATCTAGCATCGCGAGGAGTTATTGATATGAATGTGGTTAAAAATAAGTGGTGGAAAGGTCCAGAGTTCTTGCTAAGGGCTGATAGTATGTGGCCTCGTAGAGAAGATGAACCACCGATAAACGAGTGTGCCTTGGAGTTGAAGACAAGTGTCAGTTTAACATCTACTCAAGAAAGACATTCAGGTTTACATCCACTTTTTAAATATTATTCTTCTTGGTACAAACTACTGAAAGCTGTTGCGTGGTTGACACGATATGTTACGTATTTAAAGGTCATGCATCTTGCGGGATACGAAAATATGAATGTGGGGCCTTTGAGAGTCGAAGATATTAGAAATGCAGAGTTAGCGATTTTGAGGGCTGCTCAGTGGGAAGCGTGGGGTGAGATTGCCAAGGAGGATAGTCCCGATTTCGCAGATTTCAAGGTGCGGTTAGATAGATTATCTCCGATAGTTTCCGAAGGGATCGCTAGAGTTGGTGGACGTCTACAAATGTTAGAATCGTCATATGAGACCCGTCATCCGGCTTTATTACCTTGCTACCATCCAGTCACTGATCTCATTATAAGACACTACCATGTTCTTGAAGGTCATTTGGGTACTTCGCAAGTACTATCAAGTATTCGATGTAAGTTCTGGATAGTGAAGGGAGGTACTGCTGTCCGTAAAATAATTGATAAGTGCATGGAATGTAAACTCCGAATTGCTCGTCCAGTACAGCAGATGATGGCACCACTCCCAGCGTGGCAAGCTTCTGAAGGGAATTATCCATTTGAGTACGTTGGAGTGGATTTGTTCGGACCTTTTGCAGTGAAGAGAGGCAGAACTCTATGTAAAAGATATGGCTGTTTATTCACCTGTTTGAAAATGAGAGCTGTGCATATTGAGATGGTTCATACGTTAACTACTGATTCATTCGTGCTAGCATTACGTAGATTTGGGGGTAGGAGCCAACAAAGTAATCCTTTCAAAGCATATGTATACTTCAAATGGACACGGAGACTTTGTAGATTACGTTATAATCCAAATCACCGCCTCTACAGCGCCAATAAACCTGGATATCTATGATGTAACGAAAACATGCTGAAAGCTGCATCTCAGATCAAGTTGACTCATTCCATGGTAATGATCTCCTCCTGCGTGCCTTATTCGACATATTGAATGGAATGGTTCGCAGTTATTCTGGTACTAGATCGAAAAGAATAAAAAATTCACCGGTTGCTGAATCAAAAGTACTTCTCTGCATGTTTAACTGTATTCTAACTGCTATGATTAATTCCAAACCATTTATCCCATAATCACTCAAATTCCAGGAACGATCCAATTCTACCATTTAAAGAAGCTGGCGGAC